ACACAGCCAAGCTCCCACCCAATCAGCTCAAACCCCACTGGCAGTTAAAAGGAAGAAACAGCTGCGATCACACACACTACACCCAGAAGCACGAAGCTGAAGACACCAGCCTGAAGATGACGAATGTGACTTCGTCGAAACGTCGCCAAGACACTTCTAATTCTACGCGGGAGAAAACCCGAATAACTAAAGACCTACACACACACACACTCACACACACACACACACACACACACATATATATATATTTGCCCTCAAAGAATTAAATCTTCCTTTGTAGCATAGAAGCTAAATCAAATCATGCACTAGGAACATTATAATAGACATTAGCAAATTAAAAATAATTCCATTAAAATATATGTGATGCTGAGAAAGCCAAGTATACATTTTTCTTTTCTTTTAAAAATTAAAATGGCTATTGAACAAAAAAATTACTATTTAAATATTGGTAAGTTTACACTAAAAGATTTCTTGGGGTAGGAATGAAGAAAATATAAACAGGCACCTGCCATCTAAAGCTAAATGTGGAAAACAAAATGCAAGAAGGGAGATTAAATAATTTAAAAATAAGACAAGAGAATATAAGATCAGATATTAGCCTTAACTGCTAGAAGCATCAGTTCTGGTACTGTCAGTCTTCTGGGGCCAGATGAGCTAATTCTACTTTATTGTAAAACTACATTAACAGAATCTTACAAGTCTGACATTTCTTACACACACACACACACACACACACACACACACACACACACACCTCCTTTACAGCTAGGAACAGCCTTTTCTGAGCTTCTTGCCCCATCCACTATTCAGCTGCAGGCTATCCTGTGTCTTATTTGATCTTTCCCTTTGCAGTGTCTCTTTGCACACAGTCTCCCAAGGTCATTCCCATATACCATTACAGGTATTTCACAACTCATTAATACATGGCAAATCACAGTGAAAATAGTGTATACTCTACTTGCCAACCCTGTTAATGGTCATTCTAAAATATTATGAGAGAAATCATTTTTCCTTGTTCATCCTTTGCCATGAATCCTAAGAAAATAATACATGCTCATGTTTGTGTATTGCAAAAATGCTAATACTCTATATGGTCTTACCTTCACCTGCATATGCAAGGACGGAGCGGGTGCGCATCTGTTTTCCTTCTGTGGTTTTCCCTGAGCAGGTGTGAGAGCAGGAGGACCATCCAGACCATGTGCTGAGAACACAGTCCTTTGGGCATGGAATTTCACAGACAATGGGGACAGGATAGATAGCATCTCTGCAGAGCTGTCTATCAACTTCTTCTCCTGGGAAAGAAAAGGCCAGTAGCAGTCTATCAGAACTAATTTAACTTCAATTGAAGACTCTTAACCCAGATGGGCATATAAATAAATTAGATTTGGTTGCTTTGTTAAAAAAAATAAAATAAACTAATTAGCTACCCAAAGTGAGTGTATCTTTTTTCATGGCTCAGTGCTTGAGAAATTGTTGCAAAATCCATATTCACTCATGCATTCAAAATGGAACTGAATGATGAATGGGAGAAGGTTCATATTTATATTTTGGAAATGTTAGGCAGCAAAAAAAAATCTTAATTTAGACAAGAAAGGGAAAAAAACCTTACTTAAATACTATAACAACTATCTTTGTGGAAAAGATATTGCAAATTCATTACTGAACAGCTGAATCATCTTGCAGAACAAACCTAAACAGATTTACTCTAAAGCAAGTTATACAGCAAGGGTAGCTTCCACTCTCCTGGTCTTCTGGAAGTTTATTAAAATTTGATTATTCTATAATAGCTGGATGTTGTAGAGCAGGGCTTTTCAACCTTTTCACCCATTGTGCCACTTTTAGGATATGGCAATATCCGAGGACCACCAGTCGCCTAGCAAGGTGTCAAAAACTTGAGGACTCCCCCCAAAAAGGAAAAAAGTGATAAAGTACAGGTAGTCCTCGACTTACAACAGTTCACTTAGTGACTGTTTGAAGTTACAATGGCACTGAAAAAAGTGCCCCCCCCCAAAGCCACAGCCGAGCAAGACACCTGCCTGCCCGTCCGGTGGCGCTCTTCCTCCTGTCTGAGGTTTTCATTGTTGTGAGCATTTCTGTTGAGGATTGGCAGCGGGGGTGGGGTGGGAGGGTGTTTGGTTTTTATTCCCCCCCATCTGTTGGGTGGTTGCAGCAGTTTTTGGTCAATTCACATGACCCTGGAACACTGTGACCGTCATAAATATGAATCAGTTGCCAAGCATCTGAATGTAAATCACAAGACCCTGAAGATGCT